TCGTGCTTATGATTGCCTTCGTTTAGTAAATCCTTTAAATAACCGTTTAGCTATAGTGTAAACGACGATGTCACGACCGGCTCAGCAGGACGATCGGACGACCGGCGCGTGTAGATGATTCATCCCAGATGTTTTTTCGAAACTCGAAGATAAAACGTCTACACACAAGTGTTGTTGACTCATGCACGCCGGCTACTACACACATACACACACGTTCGGCATCGTTTCTTTCGACCGTGGTCGTTCGTTGTAAACAGATTTCGCCGACCGACGCAGTCAACTCCTTCTCGTGTGGCAAAGGCGAGGCTCATTCATGAGTTTCATGCGACCGCCCCTTTTTGGGTCGACTTCCGTTGAAAAGGCGGCACTCATTTTCCTCCCTCCTTTTCATCATCGCAGTAATAATTACACATTATGCAAAAATTCCGTAGAAAGAGGAGATCGGACCAGCAGGTCGCATTTACGCCTCGGTGTGGCTGATATATCTGCTTGTTCGAGAGAAAAACTTCCGCGACAATAGCCATGGCATTATCTGGTCAACCTTGAACTGAAAAACACCGACCATGTAAAGGCGGAAGGCAGGCCAGGGCAATCAATCTTACGACGTTTCATCCCCTTGAGAAATGCCAGCAAATTCTAGTAGCTCTAAGAAGAAACGGATACAAAAATACAACGATTGCGTAACCACTGAATCAAGCAAAACACGGTCCAAAACCGAGACGCTAGTTGGAATTTGTTGATGGCAAAATCCTTGAAAGGACCCCTCGATACATACATGTATACATACCCTCAGGCATACCTGCCTGGGGGTATGTATATATGTCTTTATTGATCGATACTGTATGAGACCAGACATGCATGCCTGGGGTCATAGAGGACCCCTCGATACATATGTGTATACATACCCTCAGGCATGGATGCCTGGTCTCATAAAGTGTCGATCGATGAAGACATATGTTCACAGTTCATAGCATCTGTGCTTATTTTTTGTTCGTATTGCAACCAGCTCATATCAAAAATGCTTTCCAGTTAGTTTTGTGACGGTGTCACTGTTTTCAGTTTTTAAATCCTTCCTTCCTGCAGGGGTGGGCATCGACAGTTCTCGATCGCCGAGTTCCTGCCTGCTCAACCATCATCAGCCTTTTCTGAGGTACTGACAGATAAAAAGCCTTCCAGCATTTTGACTCTGGCGTTCCCCCTTGCACCTCATGCAAGGTGGTTGTCATGAGTATTCAAGTTTTATTAATGCTTGGAAGATGATGCGACTTTCTGCTTTCTGTGCCAGCTTATGCGCGCGACAGCAGCATAATTGTTACGTAGTACCTGTAGGCAGCAAAAAACGACACTTTAGGGCATCAGGATTTATGGACGTAGCAATCAAGGACATAGTTCAGTTCCTGTTTTCGGGATGATGAAGATTCTTCTTGTAGAGGAACTTGGAGAGGAGTGGGAGGATGAAACTTTGTGAAATGGTTAAGAGGTGTCTTGTCACATCCGTTCAGAGAAAGAATGGGACCACTGTTATGAACAGTCGGCACAATGATCTAGCCACAAAACTATACTCCAATTCTCCAGATCTCGCGATTACTCTAATACCTTTCTGCAGAAGCGTCAGATCTTCTCGCGCCGAAGCTCTTAGCCGAAGTGGAGATGCATAATTGGCAGTTGGTAATATACAGCACCTTGTAAATCGCCAGCTCAGGTCAAGAAGACGATGGCAAATGTCAGCTTTCCTAACCGTTCTGATGGCATAGTAGCCTGTATGATCAGACCATCTAATCTGTCATTTACGATCATACCAAGGTACTCCAAGTAGAATCATAGATATATTTGATTTAGACGAAGGTCCTCGAAGTCGTAGTCTGTCTCAATTGACCGTAGAAAATGCAGGTCACAAAGCGAAACCTTGAAGGTCTCTCAAGTCATAGCAGTCAGTGGTTGATTTTGATCGATCTTTGCGTGAAAGAGATAGTCCGACAGCCATTGGAGTATACAGAGGATAGTTTTCAGCAGTTCAGCTCTGCAAACGTAGTCTTCATTC